ATTCCTGGCTCATTACCATAGCTTCGTCATGCCCTTTATTCCCTCCTTTTTATTTTTTTGAGAAGTATTTAGTTCATTTTATTTGTTATTATTAATAATATTATTTTTTTGGAGAGGTTTTTGCTACAGGGCGTGTGCGCTCACCAGACAGACAGAGAGAGACAGAGAGACAGAAAGCGAGAAATCATCCCCCAGGGGGGATGGCCGCCCTACAATCCCTTCTCCTCCATTCTCTTCTCAGGATCTTGGGCACACACGCACACGCGCCCAGAGTGAGTTTAAGCTACCGGATCCAGGACTCGAACCGCGGTCGGCTACGTGGGAGTCCAGCAACATAGCCGTTATGCTAACTGCTGGCCCCGTATTTGTTATTATTTTTAAGAGGCTTTTGCCATAGGGTGTGTGCATTTGCCAGAGGGAGAGACAGAGACAGTGAGAGGGGAAGTGAGAAATCACCTCGCAGGGGGGATGGCCATGCCATCCTCCATTTTCCTCCCGGAATCTTGGGCACACATGCACATGCATGAGTTTCAAGCTACCAGGTCTGGGACTTGAGCCATGGTCGGCCATGTGGGAGTCCAGTGACATAACTGTTACATCTGCTGGCCCTTATTATTTGAATATGACCAGAAAGAGTCAGAGAGAGAGAGAGAGAGAGAGAGAGAGAGAGAGTGAGAAAGCAAGCCGCCAGTCTAGAACTCGAACTGCGATCAGCCGTGTGGGAGACCAGCACCTTAACCACCTGCCGGCCCCCCTTTATTTCCCTTCTAAAGGCTTTGAACCCTGTAACAAGAAAGCCACACAAGTTTTACTTTGTAGGCCAATTCTGGTGGGTCAATAGTGGTTTTCTAGAACACTGTGTTAAGAGGGGTCCTATGGACCTTAGTGGCTCGGCAGAAGCAGGGCTAAGATGCCTTTGGAGAGAGCAGGCTCCTCTGCCTTCCCATGAGAAGCTCGTTTATCTCGGGGCCAGCACTCAGGCAGTGCGCGGGGCACGTGCTGGAGCTGAGCGAGAGTGAGTGGAGAGAAGCTGGGCGCTCCAAGAGCAGGTCCACTTTCTGGCATTCCCTGGGGACAGAACTCGGGGTTCGGCATTGAACGTCCAGGGTTGTGCTCCGACCTCGTCCCCGCCTGTCTGGACGTGCTGCTCCAGGGCAACCCTAACCAGGCCACTCGGGCTTTGTGCCCAGCAGGTTCCTCGTTGGGTGAGGCTAGGGCCAGGCCAGGGAGTGCCCCACCTGTGGGCGGTTCCCCGCTCTCTCTGACAAGGCTGCTCAGGCCTTTAGGGACTCGAACTGCAGTCGACTACATGGGAGTCCAGCGACATGGCCAGTACACTAACTGCTGGTCCCATGCTCAGGCCTTCAGGAATGACAAGACCATGCCAAAAGTGAATGATCGTATGGGGCCAGTAGGCGGCATAGTGGTTAAAGTCCTGGACTCCCAAGTGGCTGACCATGGTTCAAGTCCTGGACCTGGAGGCTTGCTCTCTCACTTTCTCTTTCTCTCTCTCTGTCTGGTGAGTGCCTGTGCCCTATAGAACATTTTAAAAATCATGGGCTGGCAGTTGGCGTGGTGACTGAGGGTGC